CCCCTCCCCTCTCCCCTCCCCCCCCCTCCTCTCTTCTCCCTCCCTCTCCCTCTTCCTCTTCTCTTTCTCCCCCCCCCCTCTTCTCTTCCCCCTCCCTCCCCCCCTCCCCCCCTCCCCCCCCTCCCCCTCCCCCCCCCCCTCCCCCCCCCCCCCTCCCTCCCCCCCCCCTCCCCCTCCCCTCCCCCCCCCCCCCCCCCCCCTCCCCCCCCCCCCCTCCCCCCCCTCCTCCCCCCCTCTCCCCCCTCCCCCCCTCCCTCCCCCCCCCCTTCCCCCCCCCTCCCCCCCCCCCTCCCCCCCCTCCCCCCCCCCCCCCTCTCTCCCCCCCCCCCCTCCCACCCCCCACCCCCCTCCCCCCACCCCCCCCCTCCCCCTCCCCCTCCCCCCCCCCCTCCCCCCCCCCCCCCCTCCCTCCCCCCCGCCCCCCCCCCCCCCCCCCCCCCCCCCCCCCCCCCCCCCCCTCCCCCCCCCCCCCCCCTCCCCCCCCCCCCCCCCCCCCCCCCCCCCCCCCCCCCCCCCCCCCCCCCCCCCCCGCCCCCCCCCCCCCCCCCCCCCCCCCCCCCCCCCCCCCCTCCCCCCCTTCCCCCCCCCCCCCCCCACCCCCCCCCCTCCCCTCCCCCCCCCCCCCCCCCCCACCCCCTCCCCACCCCCGCTCCCCCCCCCCCCCCCCTCCCCCCCCCCCCCCCCCCTCCCTACCCGCCCCCCCCCTCCCGCACATGTGACATCAAGTGATCAAAATACTTTTGGTGACTGAATCATGAACCGAACTTGTGTTTCCTCGACTCTCGAGTTCTTCTACACGGGTTGCATACATAGGTCAACTTCCTCATATAGCTAGATCCTTATATTGACATGTGTCCATATGTGTCAATATGTCTATTCAATATAGACATGTGTCAATATGTCTATTCATATCTCATACGCCGGACAGCCTTGGTGTAATCGAGAAATCAATCAATTCTTTATTTTAACGTGGTCAGTACGCTTAGCCTTTAAAATACAGTGGCTGTTAGCTAGTTTCCAGGTACCGCCAGCGAAATATTAAAGTGATATAAAAATTAAAATTAAATTTCATTGAAAGTGTATATTAAAATTAGAAAAATTTCACAAAAACTGCTACACTTGATATGAATGAAAACATATCGTGCCGGCGCTAGCTCATGTCCGGTAGAGCATGAGACTCTTAATCCACCCAAGGGTCGTGGGTTCGAGCCCCACGTTGGGCGCAATGGTAAATTTTTTTCTCCTCAGTTTTTTCTACAAGAACAATAAGGACACTGCGTTTCTGTTTGTGTTTTTTTACTGATGGTGACCGGGCAATGGGGCGCCCGAGATGGCCTGGACCTATCCTAAATTATCAAAACTCGCTCTGTTCAGCTTCGCGCGAGGAGGATCAAGTTGCAACAAGGAGAGGATGATCTAAGAGAAGGATTCCCCGTCCCATGATAATTTTCGGAAATCTATTAATAGTTTTGCGCCTATTGTGTGAAAGTTATTTTTATTTCCTTCTGATCGAGGCTCTGACATCAAGTTACTCGAACCGACCAAATCAATCAGATAGCGCACTTAAAATGGCTCAGAAATGTATTGACAGCTAAAATGATATATTTGATCATCGATGATACCACATGTATGGAAGAATGCTTCCTCTTAGATCGTATCTCGTGGTCCAAGTGTCAAAACGCAAAATAGGTCTTTATTGCTATTACAGTGAAGATGACGATACCGTTGCCACTCGACAAAGTGTTTTATTAATTTTAGAACTCTTTTTGACAACTTTGATGGGTTCCGTTTTGTGGTGGCCACATGTAATAGGACTAGGAAACTAACAACCATTCCACTGACTCCGCCTCCAACACTCCTTGGATTTTGAGTGGTCCAAAGTCAAACGGAAAACTCATCCGAAAGTCGTCAAACAAGTTGTCAAAAAGATGTCAAAATTAATAAAACACTGTTGTAATTTTAGCAACGGTACATTACATAAACTTTATTTTAGGTAGCGTTATCTTCACTGTAATTCACCGTGCAAATAAACTAATTTTCATTAGAAAAGTTTTGCGCAAGAACCTAATGAGGCGTCATTTTAAAACTTAAAAAACAGTAAGTTATTTGAAGAAAACTATTAAAAAAATTATTTGACCCAACGTGGGGTTCGAACCCACTGACCCTGAGATTAAGAGCGATAATGCTACTACCGACTGAGGTGCTAGCCGCGGCACCACGCACATACTAGCTCACAATCATTCATCAGGCACTAGACACACACCCCCATACAGCTCAAAATCAGGAGGAAGTTTAGTTGGATGAGCCAAACGGACATAGACATAGAAATACGAAGTTTCAACGGGCCTTGGTTTTCGGCCCCCTCCGGTTGTAAGGTTGTAAATGAACCATGCAATCAGTATATTCTAAGCAAAAGTTAACAAACTGAATTTGGTATAATTCAAGGTCTTTCCAATTCAGACTGGCGTGTTTGCGTCATGGGAACAGAAGTAAACATGCGGTTCGCGGGTTCTAAAGCTCTTTTACCAAATAATGGATGTAAGTCAAACCGGATTTCAGCTGTCCTAAGTAGGATACCAAAGTTTGATAACAGGGAGGTCTGAGTCCAGTCTGTCTAACTTATTGACTCCCATATCAGTTTAATCATGTTCGAAGATTTTTTTTGTATTACTGTTATTCTTAAAAACAGGATAAACGATGATGAAGTTTGTTCACATTGTAGAGTATGTGCATCATGTGTTCCATCCCCAAACGTTAAAATCTCCCGATACAGTCACAGAGAGAAACAACTTTTGCCGAACTGTCCTCGATCTTTCAAAGAATGGATTTATCAAAGTACATAACGAACCATGCATCTGATATAACCAAATTCCCACTTATAAACGAGAAAAGTAATTTGATTCCAATTGCAAATTTACCCGGATATAGCGAACGTAGCACGAAAAAGGAGTGGCACACGTCCGCTAATACGAGACATTGTCTTGCACGGAAAACTTTGTTCCTCTTTGGGATAATTACACACACCCTCTTTTAGAGACGCAAAAACAGCGATTTATCACTGATATCATGGCTCCGAACGACGTTATGACTGTAGTGATATGCGGCAATTTTCAACCTAAAAGAATTATTTCTATCTCGTATGAAGCATGTGTACCCGAGATGCCCCGTATATAACGAAACATCAGATAAAACTGGCAAACAAAGTGAGTTCATTAGATCGGGACTGCATTGTGAAACCCCCCCCCCCCCAAAAAAAAAAAAAAATTTGCTTCGTCGAATCCAGTGTCTGACGCATTCAATTTTTCAGATGCAAAATGGTTTATACAGTAAACGGAACTTGATAAACTACTGAGGTTAGCTCATCGACCACAAATCTTTAAAAAACAAATAAAAACTTACCTGGAACGTGTAAAACCAACACCTATAACTTAAAATCAAGGCCCACTTGCCCCTCAGGATCATCCCTGCCATGTAATGGAAAAATAACAACGGCTTTCACATGTTAGAGCTGTAAAGAAAGATTATAGACATTATATCCATGTCAAGATTTTTCGCTTTAAATCGTTGAAAAAGGTAAAAACGAAAGTGAAATGTCGTTGTTTGAATATTTAAATTACTGTCAAAAAGTCTGAAAGCGTTTTGTTTACTTTTGACGTAGTCAGTTTGTTCTCAAAAGTGTATTTTATTAATCCTTAAAGTTAAGATGGCTACATTAAAAACGATTTTGACGAGGCAAGGTTATTACACTAAAACGTACTCAGTCTGGCAGGGGAACCTTTAGTTGTCCTATGTACCGGTCAATGAATTTTGGACTTTTGTATGTTCATTTCTGATATCTGATTGATATAACACGTCAGAAATCAGATACGATTTTGATTACAATTTTTTTCCCCTTTTGTAACTCATATTTTCCTAACTTGTGGTGTTTTAGCAATGAACTTCCTGTGCTCAGAGCCACTCGATCATTTTGCGTCAGCGCTAAGATTCGGTGTGCTCGGGGCGAGATGGGACGGATCTTATGAGTCCATCGTGCTTTGCGCTTATTCGTTCCCAGCTCCCTCTGCGAACCTGAACCCAAATCCCCACCCAACTAAAAAAAAGCCTGGGTACTGAGCTACCAATTCCGTTCTTCTCCAATGCGATTAGGCATTCTTGGTCACGTGACCACATTTCCCTCTCTGGTTTCCCGCACACTATTAATGACACAAATGTTCGACTTTTGACTTCCAGGTCTCCCAAGAACAGAAAGTACATTTCAAGCCTCCGACCATCAGCAAAGGGTGTATGTCTAAACAAGTCTAGACATTTATAAACACTGAAATGGGATTGCTGGAACTGATGTCCATAGCACAACCGCGCCCCCAGGGCCATCCTCCGCTTTCAAGATGGAGATGGCACTGAGGGACGGAGGTTGTCCATTGCGATAAAAAAAATTGCTTTCATTTCAAAAGAAAAAAAAAATCGGACGACATAACAGCGGGAACGGACAGTGATAATCATAGCCTGCAATTCAGGACTACGAAAATCGTAAAACTATAAACATTGGTGCAATAAAAACATAACGGTTGAGTTTGTTGTTGAATAAACATTCATGCGAGAAAAGTCGGAAAGGGAGAAATACGAACGCGGAGAAAAGGGAACCCATTCAAGTCCAACTGTCCTATTTATTAAAACGCGCGTACGAAGTGACATATACTGGTCTAAGTACACACACAGGGATTTGCGCCCGTAAACTGCTGAAATCGGGCCTGCTTGATAACCAATCAGATGCGAGAATTTTGTTAGACAGTTGAACCTCTCCACAACGGCCACCGTGGTGCAGAATTCATCTAGCCGTTGTAGAGAGGTTGGCAGGGAGGTTTCAATAAGAGTAAAGTGTAGGAACCGGGCGCACGCGTATCGAGACGAAAATCCCTGGCCGTTGTAGAGAGGTCGGCCGCGATAGTGGCCGATTCGACTTGTAGTTTCCATTAATGTAAGTATCGGTCATTTCTTGTTCCGTAAAATTTCCGATTATCTGAAAACACTGTAAGCCCGTTCCAGGAATATCAGATTGTAGGAGAAACGAGCGAATGTCCCCCAGTCAGCGAAAACTAGAGCGGAAGCCTGCAAACAGGCTAGAAAAACGGTAATGGAACACCCTGGCCTTCCTATGATACATCAAAAACCTTTCCAGACACAACCATTTTTGAAATTCCAAAACACTTAGTGATAATAAGTACCCGAACTCGCGATCATAGGCCCCTCCTCTCCGTTGGGCATACCGGAAACCCTTGGGGATGGCCATTTTCAAAGAATACTGCCAGCAAGGAGTTATCAAATTGAATTCTATGATTCATGCAAATAAATGAAGGCGATTTTATTTTTTTTTTTTATGGGCAGACAAATTAGCAGTAAAGTATCACCTTGGTTATTGATTAAAAGTAACAATTTTTATGGCTATAAAATTACAAAATGTAACCTATATAATTACTGTATCCAAAGATATAACAGAAACAAAAAGTTCCTTAAAATTGCCAACATATGTGAGATATAATGGTAATAGGATCTTGTGCCGTCCAATTCGGTCTGTAATCATTGGTGTTATAGTTTTGATTAAAAGTGTTACTACATTTTATTTTATTAAAATTAATGATAGTTTGAAGAATTTGGAGTAACATCAACACTATATCCCAAAGTCGATGATTTTCTTTATATCATCATATTTTTTGGGTGACAATAATACTGATATTGCAAGGAGGAATAATAGACAAACTGAAAACAATTGTCAGCAGCTTGATAATGTTATAACAAAAAGTTAAAGAGTGGTTTTCTAAGATTGAGTGTCAATCAATCAATCACATCAATCAATCACTCAAATCAATCAATCAGATCAGGCAGTCAGGTCAATCAACCCACCAACCCACCAAATAATCAATCAATCAGTCAAATCAATCAATCAATCAATTCAATCAATCAATCAATCAATCAATCAATCCAATCAATCACTCAATCAATCAGTCAGATCAGTTACAGTCAGTCAATCAATCAATCAATCAATCAATCCCCAAGCAATCAAGCATCAGTCCAATCCATCAATCCACACCAACCAAATAATTAATCAATCAATCAATCAATCAGATGCAAAATTTATACAATCGAGTCTTGGACATGCCATTTTCAAGCGCTTGGCTTCAGTTATGTATATTTTGCTTTGAGTTCTAATTAATGGATTCATTGTGTT